ACTTTTGTCCTTCAAACATCATGAGGGTACCCAGCGTGTTGGACAGAAGCCTGTCTGTCCCTAATGTGCACGTGGGGGACACTAAGACTAAGACGAAGAGATTGCTAATGAGGCGCTGTTGCAAAGGACACCCAGGGCTCAGAGGAGAGGTGGAGTTGGGGCCAGATGTGCCTGAGATGATAGCAGGTATAGTGTGGGGGTCTCCTCATCATTAATACCGATGAGCTATGGAGGGGCCGGGCAGCCTCTGGGTAGGGTGGCATAAAATACCATTTAGGCAAAGTGGTGGGCAGCCCTTCCAGCTCCTCAGGCACTCTCGTTAGCGTCAGTCTGGCTCTTGACGGCCATTACAGCCATGGCCTGAGTTCTGGCGATGCACGGGTCTCGGAGGAACATTAGCTGGTGGTGAACTAGAGAGGTTAATGGCATACTCGCCATCAACCGAGGCTTTTATCCTAATTCATTAAAACTATGAAACACACACTCACCCCCCAAAAAAGAAAGAGCTTTAGAGAAAAGCAAGCAGCTGCAGAACCAAGTGTGAATGTCCTGGACCCCGGTAGGAGCCCAGGAGAACTCAGCGCCCTCCCTGCAGAGCACCTTCCTTCCTTCCTTCTTTCCTTCCTCTCTTTCTTTCTTTCTTTCTTTCTTTCTTTCTTTCTTTCTTTCTTTCTTTCTTTCTTTCTTTCTTTCTTTCTCTTTCTTTTCTTTTTTTTTTTTACTGCTCAGGATAAATTTAGTTACGGCCCTGTCTGAGACAGAGGGGAGGTAGGGTAGAGTGTTTGCAAAGCACCCAAAGCTATTGGTACTGTTACTGTGAAGGTCTTTCCTTTAGAGCAAGTGCGATGCTCTGCTCTGTACCTCGATGAAAAGGTCCCAGCCCTGAGCTATTTGAAGAAAAGGGTCACTAGATGAAAGTTCCAGTTCAAACAAGGTGCAGGCCACTTTCTGTCATTGGAGAGAAGGGAGAATTCCACAGGACACAAGCCGGGGACAGACTCAGAGCAGGAGAGGGATAGAGATACATGTACCCTTAAACGGATGGAGGCAACCAATTGATGTTTTTCTCTCACATCAATGTTTCTCTCTATATATCCCTTTCTCTCTAAAATCAATAAAAAGCATATTCTTGGGTAAGGGGAGGGGGGAAAGAAATCAAGGTTTCCAATTACATACAATGGTTCACCTTTTAGGCAAAAAGTGGACAAAGGATAGCAGCAGAAAATTAGGCCAGTGTTTCTCAAAGCGAGGTCACTGGACCACCAGCACCAAACTGTCCACTGGCTGGTCAAAATCTCTAGAGGCGGGTCCTTAATGAGACCTCCAAAAGTTCAACTAAGTATGAGAATCGCAATCACTGGTTCAGAACACACTGTGAAACCAGTAGTGAGACATCACAAAGTATTCTCCGAGAGATTTTAACAGAATCTTGTTTGGTGGCAGGACCATGCACAGATGACCCACCTCAAGGCCCAGTGCCCACCGCAAGCCATGCCGTAGTCATTTTCTTGGTCTCCGGAGTGTACTGGGGACGAGGTTTAGAGGGAGCATGGGATTCCCCTGCATAGTTAGTCTTTTTGTTGTTTTCCAAAAGCCCCCAGAGAGTTTGGAGACTGGAAAACAGGAAGATGATGGCTTCTGCCAAAGCTTCCAATTAGATAATGAAATTATTCTGTTTACAGGGTTTATAGACATCTGAAAATAACACTAATCTTTCTCATGGAGGGACTATGGGAGGCTCTCCAATAAAGACAGAGTTAAAAAATAATTTCTTGGCAATAGTTCCAGATTATAAATAGATAAATCATTGATTAAAAATAGAATGAATTTTAAATCTCTTCAAGATGCTATGACGATATCTAAAAGCAAAATTCTTTTATATAGGAATTAAAACAAAAAACAAAAACAAAACCCCCAAACACATGGACGTTGAGAATTATTTAAGAGGTTCTAGAAACTGCAAATTAAAAATAGCTATCACCAGACCCCAGGAGGAGAAAATAAAATCTGCAATTATCTGACAAGTATCAGTATGCTAAGTCCCTTAAGTTCTGTCTCAGGGACACAGACAACAAGACAGTTTAGCCGTCAACTCTGAGTTTATGGTCATGAGCTGCACAGAACCAGAAGCCAGGCACACAGAGGTGCCTTTTTTTTCGGTTTTGTTAATCTTCACTTGAGGATATTTTTCCCATTGATTTTTAGAAAAAGTGGAAGGGAGGGAGGAAGGGGGGAAAGAGAAAGAGAAAGAGGGAGAGAAGAGAAACATTGATGTGAGAGAGACACTTCAATTGGTTGCCTCCCGCACGGGTTCTGACGGGGGGCAGGGAAAGAACCTGCAACTCAGGTACCTGCCCTTGACTGGGCATTGAACCCATGACCCTCCGGTGCACAGGCCCAGCTTTGCCCCTGAGCAGTTTGTGTGGCCTTGGGAAAGTGACTTAACTCTAAGCCACAGTTTTCTCATCTGCAAAATGGGAATAATGATCATAGTGGTGTATCCTCACCCTCTCTTACAGGTATTTGTGAGGATTAGTGGAGCAAATGCACTTGAACTCAATCACACTGTCTGGCACAGAGCCAGCCTTGATGCACTTTAACAATGATACTATATTTCTGCTACTTTTATTCTAAACCAAGAATTTTCTGAAATGCCAAGATATTCAGGACATTCATATCATAAAGAGCTCTTTTTGGGGTGGGGAGGGGTTTGTTGCTCAGGAGTGTCAAAGTTGTGGATTTCAATTCTGCATAGACTTTGAGTCTATTGTCTGGTACTAAACCTTCCCTTCCTCTTCCCAGGTCCCCCAGCAGGGCTTGTCACAGTATTACATGGTAGAGAAAGAAAAGTAAGACAGTGTGTATGTGTAGGCCGTGTTCTCTGATAGTAACAATTACAATTAGATTAATAATAAATGCTCCGGGTGTGTCTCCTCGGCCTGGCACTCTTCTGCCTGAAGTGAACACTTTAAACCCTTTTCCCATTTGGCCCCCGACAACACCGTAGGAGCAAGGAGTGCGAGGTGCTTGCTGAGAACCTAGGGATGTTTTACGGGCCCCGCTGACTCACTCAGTCACGTTCCGAACACTCTGAGCAGGATCTGCCTAACTCCAGGGCCCTGAATGGGAGATACCCACCCACCCCCTTCCTCTAACACAGTGATGGCGAACCTATGACACGCGTGTCAGAGGTGACACGCGAACTCATTTTTTTGGTTGATTTTTGTTAAATGGCATTTAAATATATAAAATAAATATCAAAAATATGTCTTTGTTTTACTGTGGTTGCAAATATCAAAACATTTCTTTATGTGACACGGTACCAGAGTTAAGTTAGGGTTTTTCAAAATGCTGACACGCTGAGCTCAAAAGGTTCGCCATCACTGCGAGTCTAACACAGTCCCGATGATGGCCTCCGCGCTCCTGCTGTCAGACCCCAAAGCAGTTTCTTCAGGAGAGGGGCTTGCTTCCTTCCAGATGCTTCTGACATGGGCTGACCACAACCCACAGTGAGAAATATATATTATACCACAACTCAGATGTATATCTCAAAGATTTTGATGAAAAATGCATGCGTTCATGTGAGGCCTTCTGATGCTTCCTTGCTCTATTTTGCTCTTTCATGAAAAGCAAGATTGTGGAGAAATTGGAAAATTTATACGCCACTGATGGGAATGTAAAATGGCCTAGTTTCTGGAAAACAGTTTGGTGTTTCCTCAAAACCTTAAACACAGTTTCTAAATGACCTGAATAGTCCACTGCTAAGCACATATCCAAGAGAAATGGAAACACATCCATACCAAAAACTAGAACATCAGTGATTCATAGCTGCATTATTCATAGTAGCCAAAAGGCAGATATAAACCAAATGTCCACCAAGTGAGGAATGAATACACAAATGGGGTACATATCCATACGATGGGGCGTTATTCAGCCAAGAAAGGAATGGAGTGTTATCCATCCTACCCAGTGGGGGAACCTGGAGACCATCATGCCAAGTGAAAGAAGCTAAACACCATGCACGGCCTGCGTCCACCTAGGTCACTGCTCACAGTGGGCAGGTCTAAGGGATAGACAGTCAGTTAGTGTTGCTACTGGGAGGGGGGTGGGGAATGAGGAATGGGTCTGGGGTTTCTTCTAGGGGTGATGAGAATGGTCTAAAACCAGACAGTGCTGATGGCTGCAACGCTCTGAATACATATAAAAATGAATTGTATAAAGGGGTGAATTTATTCGTATGTTAATTACATTTCAAGAAAGCTGTTTAAAATGATGGTTGTGATCCAATAAACTGATTTCATCATTCCAAACGGGTCAAAATGCAGTTGAAAATGATTGTCCTAGAATATCTTTCCCACTCCCGACCCCTGCCCGGCCTGTCCTCTGCATGGGAACCATTGCTGAGCCTGGCAGATGGACAGACGGACAGAGGGGCGAGCATGGGGAAGGAGGGATGAAAGCCCTCTGTGGCACAATATCCACGGCCCTCCTTCAGTTAAGGGACCTCAGAGCCAAGCCTGCACCTGTAGGCCGAGTTTCTGTCTCTCACAGCTGGGGGGTCATGAGAACAGAGGTGTGGGGAGATTTCCCGAGACAGCTGGCTCAGTGGGGTGGGTGTCCCCATTGTTCCGCTCCTGCTTGCCTCAAATTCCAACAGGAAGGCTCAATCTCCAAGAGCCGCCTTGTGACCTTGGGGTGGAAGGCAGGCCTAAGGCTGGCAAAGCTACCAGGAGACGGGGTCCTGCTGCCATCTTGAAGCCACCAGGGCTTCCTTTATGTGGCTGAGAAAATCCCTAATTTGTTTACAGCACTGAGCTGAGTCTCTGGTACTAGCAGTCAAAGGGACTTCTAAGTGATATGCCATGTAAGTGAATCAAAGCTCCCTCCCTGATGGAGCCGCTGGACCCCTCCGGGAACAGCAGCTGCTCTCCCGCCCAGGCCTTTCTGCCTCCCTGCCCTCCGGGCCAACATCTCCCCGAGTCCCGTGAGGAGGGCAATACCTGGTGATTTTAAATATCCTCAGGAGCCGAACACATCTCAGCACAGAGATGCCCAAGGGGGACATGACCTTGGTCTCCACCAGGATGGTCTCCAGGATGCCCCCGCACACAATGAAGCAGTCGAAGCGGTTGAAGAGGGACACGAAGTAGGCCTGCAGGCCCAGGCTATACATCTTCAGCAGCATCTCCGCAGTGAACAGGGCCAGGAGCGCCTTGTTGGCCGTGTCTGGTAGGTTCAGGGTTGGGATGGGATCCAAACAGGTGTGAGAGGAGGGAACAAGGGGAGGAGGAGAAAGAAAACACAGTAATAATCAGCACTGAAAAAAACTAATTCTCACTTCCCAGCCAGGACACCTCTCCCATCCACAGCTACCAAAGCAGAACAAGTAGGGCCAAATCAATGGGCAGAGGTATCCATTTATCAAGTACAGCAATCTCCCTTATCCATAGGAGATGTAGTCTAAGACTCCCATTGGATGCCTGAAACCAGAGATAGTACTGAACCCTATATTCACTGTTTTTCCTGTACATCACACTCAAACAGTGTGAGGCTTCACCATACTACTCAGAACAGTGTGCAATTTTATTTATTTATTTATTTATTTATGTTAATCTATACCTGAGGATATTTTTCCATTGGTTTTTATAGAGAGTGGAAGGGAAGGAGGGGGCAGTGTGGGGGGAGAAAGAGAAACATCATTGTGAGAGAGACACATTGATTGGTTGCCTCCCACACATGCTACACCTGGGGCTGGGGATCCAACCTGCAACCCAGATACCTGCCCCTGACCAGAAATCAGACCTGTGATCCTTCACTGCATGGGGTAATGCTCTAACCACCGAACCACAATTATCTTTGGAATTTTCCAAGTATTACTGCCCATTTTCCAGATAGAAGAAGTGAGGCTCAGAGAGATGAGTACTTCACCCAAACCAATAAGCCAAGAGGTGAAGCTAGGTCATTTGAGAGTGGAGTGCACCCCTGTGTCTGCCTGTGTCTGCCTGATGCTTGGGGCAGTGCTGAGGCACTGGCCAGTGTGGGCCTCTCCAAGGGGTTGCCTCGAGGAAGGGCCCGGGCACTAACTACCCGCCGAGGAGGCTGCCCGTGTTCAGGCCACTGCTGCCCTCCCCCTCTGCTTTTTCGCTCACCTCATCCTCACGTCTGCAGCCCACCTGGACTTATCACCACGTATACCTGGAGGCAACAGGAAAGCTAAAGGATTGAAAACCCATTTTGGGAAGTCGGCAGCCAAGGGTCTGAGAGAGCAAACTAGGTACAGCATGTGTCCATGTCACCTGGGCCCAAGAATGACTATTGGGGCAGGCAGATGGCATGGACCCTGCCAGGTGAGCCAGCTTGTTTATGATGAGGTGTGCATTTTATTGTGGGGCTTTTGAGCTGCCAGGCCCTTGGTGTCCCCAGCATGGCACCTGCCAAGAGCCGCAACCATGGATGCTTTCCCGTCCACCTTCTGCGTGTGACAGCTCACTCCCTGGGACTCAAGCATGTCAAACTCACAGCCCGAGGGCCGCATGCCTTGTTTATTTGGCCCGTGTTAGCCTTTGAGTTTGACATGCTTATGCCAGAGTAAACCAGGATGGCACCAGGGGCTGCCTCTCACCTTGGACTTCTGTGAGCCAGTGCGGCTGGTTGTAATGCTCCGAGGCAATGGTGAGCGTGTTGAGGAACACCAGGAAAATCACAAGCCAGTAGAAGACATTGGACTTGACTGCGGCACGACACTTCCTTCTGCAGAACCGATTCCACCGGCGCCAGTAGCGACTGGAAAGGGGTGGGGGTTGCGGAGAGAAGGGTGGGAGGGAGGTGGCTATGAAATTCAGATTTCCCCACATGATTCTACTGTGTAAGCATGACCAAGAATCACTATGCTAGATGAACCCAAGCAAAACAAGTCACATCTCGTAATTCTATGGTGGTGTGTTTAAAGCACGCCCCTAATTTCATCCTCACAATGCAGAGAAAATATGCAGCTGGATGTGTGGCTCTGATGGGGAGAAATGAAGATGGTTTGGATAATAAAGAAGGCAGGTGAGAAACAGAGCAGAATCGTGGAGTAATGTCCATGAACATCTGTACTCACATCTGTATTCTAGGTTTCCAGGGAGGGAGATGTCTGCTGTTTATGATCCCTTCACACATCTCAGATTACTTCTACCTACTGTCCCTGGATAATCCCTTTACCAAACCCTGGTGCAACAAGATTAGAGAAGTGGGACATACATCTGGGAAGGGTGTGGTTTCCTCAGAACCACAGGGAGAACCTGGTTTTTTGGCTTGCAGAGCAGGGAGGGAAGAGCAGGAAGGGGTCACTGGGTCATGTTCTGATCTGGCCGCTGGGTGCTGGAATGCCCTCTCAGTGAGCACCGCACCTTTGTGGGGGACACTTACCTGCTACCTAAGGAAAAGTCACTACACAGAGAAGAAATGCCTCAGGTCAGAAAATTATAGTTTCCAGATGCACTTACTACCTGGGTAAACGTGAGGATATGAGAGTGAACAGAGGGTAAAGGAAGGGGACCGAGTCCCAGGTGGTTGGTCCTTAGTGAGTTGCGACTTTAGGAGGTGGCCAGACCTCGGTACAGAGTCTTTCTCGCCTGGGCAGGACTCTGATTCTTCCATTATTGTGGTTATTAATATTGTAGAGAAATTTGGTAACAATTTTTTTCATAAGAAATGAATTTTCAGGTCAGAGTCATATCGGATCTTAAATAGCTTACACTGTAGTTTCAAAAAATGTTTTAGATACAGTGCCATTTACAGAAGTCACTGATGCTTGTATTCAGAGTCCAAAGGAATCAAGTTTGCTTTCTTTTACGTGTTAGGAGCCGACTCGAAGTCAGTTTAAGGAGAACTTAG